TGTTTTATGAATAAACACGATGTTTTGGAAATATTTATCAAAAGAAATTTATACTATGTTGCGAATTACAATTTCGAGATAACCTTCTTTTATTTACGAACTTATGTCTTTGATGCTGAAATTGACAACTTTATAAAAATACATTTTCACTGAAATTATGAAATCTGGGTGTCGGAAAGGTGTAAAATTATTCTTCGGAAAAGAAAAAAACAGTAGTTGAGCTAGATAAGAAATTATACGGGGGCAGGCTCCTATGGAGAATTAACATTACTGGAAACAGGCCCTTTGTAAACAAAGGGAGACAACTCTGAAGATCAAAATGAAATTAATAATTCCCTGGGTCTAGTTGCTGATAATATATACATCTGATAGTAAAATATGGCCATGCTAGTTACATAGCGTATACTGAGTCTCTTGGTAGTTTTTGTTTGGATATATACTACGAAAAAGGACAAAAACACCGTTTTGCACAAGAAAATATTTGTTTATTCATTAGCGGTTTATTATCATCTATGTTCCAGAATTTACTAAAAGTTAGATAGCCAACACAGCATGAAATATTCTGATGAATATATCACTGTAATTTTGTCCTTATCTCGTATCACTATGACAGCAGAACGTTTTTACTTAGGCAGGTAATTTGCAAGTGACAATTGCGGTTTTAGACTTACGGAAAATACAATATCAGTATTTTTTCTGTGATTTTAAAAAATCTGGCCGACACCGGTAGATCTTTATCTGAAACGGAAATTGAATCATAAACAAGAATATGTATGCATCTAATTTGGAAAGAATAACTTCAATATATTGTATACCGGGAATCTTTCGCCGCAATTTAGATTTTTTGCCATTTTCGCTCTCCACCATGAGGGCAAATGTATCATAACAATAAAAGTAGTACACAGCTTAAACTGTATAGAAATAACATGTGAAGGGCGAAAGGCAATGTAGTGAGTACACAAGAATGACAGGTTATGGACGAATCAACTAAGCATTCTAAAATGTTGGGGAAATAATAAACCGAGGTGGACTCGGTGTTCGTGGTATTCTCTGTTTTGTTTACATTTTTCCTCTCTTGATTTGAATTCGCCATAATACAAACACGCATATATATATGTCGATCAAACCGTAAATGTAAGATTAAGCCATCAAAATCTGTAATTGATTACGTACCTCATCAATATATCCCTTAAAGTTGTCAAATCCCCTTCCGTAACCAATATGGATCCCTGTGTGTGTTCTTTTAATACTACCTGTGGTAATAAACAAACAAATAATACATAACAGTTATTTCAGCACAATCAAAGATTCACTAATTGAGAAAACATTGTTTTTGTAACTATATCATTTCGTCAAAATTAAAACAGTTTCTGTGTGAATGCATTGCTATTTTGAAAGAAGAATATTTGTATTGATTATGTCTGTGTTGTTAGGTATAGAGACTAGCAGTAGGTAGTGGTACCTGGAGAGGGTGCGGTCTTCACGGCTCCATTACAGCGCCCACACAGGTTCTTAGTGTCATGAATAAAGTACGCATCGTTCCAGCCATCCTTTAAAAACGACAAACATCTGTTTAATAATATGATAAAAAATATATAAAAAAATATGTAAAATATGATGAATTTTCCAAAAAACAAGGAAAAAGAACAACGTGCAATTTCTTAAATCATAATCAATAGCTGAGTACCATGAACGATTGAAATGTACCAAATGCGAGGGAAATAAATGTAAATTTTGAGATAAAAATGGACACCGACTTTGCTTTAAGATTATGTTATTTTTTCTGCGATATTTCTTAACAGAAAAAGTAACATGTACATTTGTTGGAATAAATAGTCATTTTTTGCAATATTTCCATGATTACCTGATGAGCGAAACGATCAAAGTGAATTAGAATCTTTGACTGACAAAACAAAAAATAAGTTACCAAATACAACTTTATCCAAATAGTCATTCTAAAATATGATTGATTGAAAAACAAATGTTTCATTTTACTTACATTTTTAGCAATATGAAAGGAGGCAAGCTCATGATGTTTTGTAATTGCCATGTAATGGATAGAGAATTGGCTGAGAACCATCATGAGGGAAGCGTCGTCATTGCAGCAGTCACTGTTGCTGACAAGTGCCATCAATTTCGGTCGCCTGCGAGGCACTGATTTACACTTTTTGACCTTAAAACGGATCTTGATCACAATTTCCTTGAAATCGGCATTCGAATATCTGGGAATGATAAGCTTTGATCTTCCATTGAAATACGCGTAGCCCTTTTTGGTTCGTTTTACATTGTAATTCTGAACATAGCTGTGTGAACCTGAATGATCCTTAAGATCCTTTGTAAATGGTAGATATACTTCAGGTTTACATTTTCCTGTAAAATAACAATGGTTTGAAATAGAGTAAATGTCAAAATGCAAGGAAAGTAACTTAAGTGTATTTAATATCGTTTAATTTTCATGTATTCACTTTCTCTACTGAACAATGCTGTAATATGCATCTAGTTATTAAGAATTGAATTTTGTAATTATCCATCTTAATTAAAAAAGGATAATGCATCCATGCAATACTGAAATTACATGTATATCAAGTCAAATAATTCATATATAAACTATTGATAAAGATAATACTAAACACTAATGTTAATAATCGTACCAAAAAAATGAATGTCGTAAATGAATGTTTTATATTTAGCAGTTATCTATCAATACATAGCGCTAACTATGAAATATCCATGTTTTCCCAAATACATTCCTGCTAAAGGAGAGAGCCGGTGTGCTGATTAATGACTGGATGTACCATATAGCGTAAAACATGAGGTCGTTTAAGAACTATTACATGAAAATATCACCAAAACAACCTCTCGGCAAACAGAAATATGGCCACTAAAGTAAAAGAAATGCAATATTTTCACAAAAACTATATATATCAATCACTATGTCGAAAATAACTAGATATATAAAACAAATAATTACATTTGTAACCTTTAATCAGATACAGTTTCCTATTCAAGAGAAGTGAAAAGTTAACTATTCACTTCCTAATCTACTATTACTACCATACAAATACTATTTCAATTTTTCAATAGAAAATGTGTGAAATGCTGCTTTTGATGTTTAGTGATTTATAAAGCGTTCTATTATTACATCGCAGCGTGAACGCAATGGTAGAATTATATATGACATATACAAATATTTGTTTATTTGTCTCAATCGTGTATGTTAAAATTGCATACACATGCATGCATGTACAATCGAATATTGTAATGACTTACGTTTGGGAGGAATGTGAGATACGTGTCCTGTGCATGCGCACTTATCCGCATCATATAAGCTCCCAGGTGCACATGGGCGTGGCACCCACATATTCCATCCTGTGATGAATTGCTCGTATACTTTAGCGTTACTAAACACCATGCGAGTCTCGCATTTTGATACTGATGTAAGTGTTGGTGGACATTCATCTTGACATCCGGGGTCTTTGACACATTTATTTTTGCCATAGCCTCGCCTGTATCGATATCCTTTAGCACAACATCTGGCCGTAGATACATCCCTTTTACACAACCAATATGCACGACAGTTTTGTATTCCTTTGTATGGATAGGATTTTAGATGGGGACGCATCTTACATTTATCTATAAAATGGAAAAGTACAAAAGATAATATATCGAAACAGAATGATATACATACCGTAAAACTGGTAACGTTCGCGGTGTGGTAATGTTCGCGGTTTTCGCGTTGATGAATTTTGCGCAAAAATATGCGCACGCGAATATTTACTCTTTTGGTTTTGGTTTGTTTGTGTTTTACGTCTTTTTAACAGCTATGGTCGTTTAAGGACGTGCCAGGTTTTGATGGTGGAGGAAAGCCGGAGTTCCCGGAGAAAACCACCGACATATGGCCAGTACCCCGCGTAGGCCTCGAACCCGCGATCCAGTGGTGGAGGGCTAGTGGTAGCAGAATGTCAGACGCCTTAACCACTTGGTCACCGAGACCCCTAATATAATATGCTTACTCTATACATTATTTAGATGATACATTTAGAAAATATATAGATTTCAGAATCATTGCCAACGTGGATATGTCAACGCCGCGAGCAGTTTTAAGAGTCTAAAATCGGTATCTTCCGTAGGCGAAAATTTCCACTGCAACATTAGTCCTATGCAAACCAGAAACTCATAAATCAAAATATATTTTGGTTTGTCGGGTGGGACAGTGGATTACCCACTCACCCCTAGACGACTCTGGTTTTATTTTCCGATATGACGTGATAAAAGTATGGGGTCACCTGCCCGACCAGATACTCCTGTATAATCCCATATTAAGATCAACTGCGTGCTAATATCCAGGCCAACGAGAATGTTTAACATAAGTATAACTAACTGGTTGTCAAATTAAGAAAGTTTATATATAAAGTGTGTTTTTCATAAAAACGAGAAATATGATTGTACATGTGTACATTTAAGTTAAAATTCGGTAATTGGATATTCAAAAATATTTTAAAATGCTTGCATTGCAGCTTATAGATAAGGTCAACTTACCCCTTTTGCAGTTGCACTGGTACGATAGACGGCATGCCATGACATCAGGATCAAAGAAGAAGCCAAACGGACACTCTCTATAGGACGCTCTCATTTTCCCATGGGGTCCAAAGTAACACTGAATAAACTTGCTGCAGATGTTTGGGTGTGAATTATAGCCTACTCCATTCATCATACTGCAATCGTCACATGGACCTATTTGTTTTTCATATTAAACTCACATTAGATAGGCTGAAATCGATCACATTGGAATTTTTGTTTCATTCAATATTAAAACGATCGAGATATGATTCGATAATTTGAGTAACATAGTGAGAACAAGTTTTAAACAGTGGCATGCATTCTAAATTTTTGAACTTTCTAGTACAACAACTATTTGAAGTAGAAGCTGAAGGTAGTTACTCAGAATGAAAGAATATTATGTCAAAATGAGATATCTAACACAAAACTTTTTTAAACAGTTCAACAATTAATTCCAATGAAATGAACTCTACAATATACAAATATAAGCCCTATACAATGACGTAAAATGGGGATAAATAGAGAACCGATAATATTGCAGGGTGTTGTTTTGATACATGCAGATATCAAATGACATATTTCTGAAGAGCTATGGGACTGTATTTACTTTTCCACTGAGAGCTCCTCTATAAGCATTACCAAAGATATTGCGTACATAGAGTAATCAATGCCATTTGATCAGCGTCCTTTTGAACATTCTACTTCCGCCTCGATTGAAATGAGACAACCGTCAGGAGCAAACATTATGGTGACGTTAGGCTGTTTCAGGAATCTCGTTTGCACCGACGACATAGATACTTCAATATCGAAAATATCAGGGAATATCAGTATTTAGGTTAATGATAGCTAAAAGTAAACAATGTAAATATAAAAAAAATAACAGCATTTTGTCAATCTTCATGCCGGTATAAAAGTAAATTAGTTACATATATATTTACGTTGAAAAACTTCCATAAAGGGCTTAATGGAATAAACATGTTACCGATTTGCATTCATACCAGCGTGAAATTGAAAAGAAAGTCGTTCTTTTTTACTTATATATTATTTCATTAAATATGATTGATGTTATGACAAACCTTTAATCCAACCAGTTGTTTTTTTGCGTTGTTCTTTCTGTTGCTTGATGGCCAATTTTCGTATATTTACAATCTTGAGTGTCTTCCTAAAAGATGATGCGTGATATATTTCTTGCTTGATCGTTGTTGTAGTTGGTGTTGTAGTTGTTGTTGTGGGCGTGGTAGTTGTTGTGGGCGTGGTAGTTGTTGTGGGCGTGGTAGTTGTTGTGGGCGTAGTAGTTGTTGTGGGCGTGGTAGTTGTTGTGGACGTGGTAGTTGTGGTGGGCGTGGTAGTTGTGGTGGGTGTGGTGGTTGTTGTGGGCGTGGTAGTGGTGGTGGGTGTGGTAGTTGTGGTGGGTGTGGTAGTTGTGGTTGGTGTGGTAGTTGTTGTGGGCGTGGTAGTTGTTGTGGGTGTGGTGGTTGTTGTGGGCGTGGTAGTTGTTGTGGGCGCAGTAGTTGTTGTGGGCGTGGTAGTTGTTGTGGGTGTGGTTGTTGTTGTGGGCGTGGTAGTTGTTGTGGGGGTGGTAGTTGTTGTGGGCGTGGTAGTTGTTGTGGGTGTGGTGGTTGTTGTGGGCGTGGTAGTTGTGGTGGGTGTGGTAGTTGTGGTGGGTGTGGTAGTTGTTGTGGGCGTGGTAGTTGTAGTTGTCGTGGTTGTTGTTGTCGTGGTAGCTGTTGGAAAAACGAAAACAATAAAGATGAAACCTTTAACATTTTGTATCCACTTCGATTGTCTTGATGTTTCAGGAACAAATTGAGATTTTGGAAATATCATCAGAAGTGTTATTGTTAAAGAACTGTTACTAGATACAAATACTGGAAAACATTTTTAAATTGGAAATATTTTTGTTTGTTTTGTATTGATTTTGTTTCTTTCTTTTCGACGGAATATATTACTTTTATTAAATAGAGTTAACCTTTTTAGACAGAATATCAAACTGTCCAAAAATACGATTTACATTAAGTAAAAAAAACATAAAAAAACCCAAACTTATAGATATTTGTCCATAACGGTAAACGGAAAAGAATTACGGAACAATTAAAAGCGTCATCAAAATTGTAAAGAATCTATGTGATATAGACATATTGAAACAAATGCATTTGTATTACATAAATATTTGTTTTATATAGTATATTAATAAATCTGACGAAGTGTATACAATTTATACATTTTAGACAATTGCAAAAGTAAATTGCGACATTTCAACATATTGTTACACTTACTTGGACAAAGTGAATTGTGTCATTACTACATATAGTATCACTGACTTGGACGAAAGTAAATCGCGGCATTGCTTGCTACATATAATAACACTTACTTGGACAAACCATTTTAACCAGACGGTCGATCGAATCTCTCAGCTGGTTAAATGTTTTGACAGTAAGTACATTTTCTGGTCGTGATGCTATCCCATTAAGTTCCGTCATGTTTACGTGGTCCGATATCCCTACAGCAAACATCTCAATACCATTTCTTTTCGCTTTCCTTGCCTGCTTTAATGTTTTCAGCATACTTTTGGAGCGACCGTCTGTAAGAACCATACCCACGGCAGGGATGTCGGGACGCTTTCTCCGTAACTTGTCTGAGGTAAAAATATCGAGCATCGTTTTGATCCCCAGTGCTGTGTTGGTACCTTCTTGAGGATGGGGAAAGTTTCTTATTTTCACTTTCAATTTTGCCCTGTTGGAAGTAAGCGGTTTTGTCGTGGCAATTCTTGTGCTAAACACCACTAAACCCATACGAACTTCCCCAGGAGATATTTCAAACTCATCCACCATTTTTTCTACAACATCGCACAGAGTTTGGAAGTCCTCTTCGTTAATACTGTCAGATCCGTCCACAACACAAACAAAGTCCAACAGTCGACGGCATTGACCTACAACAAGTTACGTGCATCACTTAGACAGCATGTAGTGTTCGAAGTATTGACACTTTTATAGTATACTAGTGATTTGGTCAGGATTCAGTAATAATATTTATGTATAAACAGTATTGCATGCATATTTCGCTTTCGCTGTAGTTTTACATGTTTCGGAACACAATTGACAAGGAATATCATTCCTTAGATCTGCATCGACTTGCACACTTAAAACGTAGTTATTTCGTAGATTCGTTTTTTTAGGTTATGATTGATCTCAAATCTTCAATGTCTTCATGTTATAGGGATACTAATTCACAAAACTTCCGATATCCTGATTTATATCAGTTCTTATCAGCTTATACTGAAGTACATGTATTACCTATGAGTTTTACCTTCAAGACGATAGACCATTGACTTTAAATGCTAGAACCATTACCAATTATAGAAGAAGTTAATATCGAAGAACGATTTGAGAAATAATTCCTTCAAGGATACATAATGAGGTAGTATATATCTTTTCTTAAAGCAAATATTTTGACATTCTGATTTTTTTCTTCTGCGGTAAATTAAAATTCAAAACTTTATGCGATTATATATCTATATATAATTTAAATCATCATTTTCCTTGCTAACATCAAAAGAAAAGTCTTACCATGGTTTGCTGTGACTATCGTTTTGATAGACATAACAGCAATTATTACTCCAATGACTAACCTCCCCATGTTGGGCATCGTTCATGAACCATGGGATACGATGTATTAGTGAGAAAAAAGGGGGAGCTCCTTTTGAATCATCATTGAAGGACAAGCTGATGCGACCTTCTGGTTCCATCCTCATCCATCAGTGTCCAAGCGTTTCCTCAGGCGCGTCTTCGTTAGGCGCTGGAAATACCCAGTAATCAATGGATAATGATCATTTGGAGTTATAGCAAGGTTTCTCAGCACATTCTTTGACATTTTAAAAGGGGTATATTTGAAGGAGGACTCCCTAGGGGTAAGATGTAAATTGGGGATGTTGAATTGTATGAATAATTATGTATTACATAAAACATCTGTTTTAAGAGAAAGAAAATGCAAATTTAAATGATGAATGATTGCCATTAAGTGCACATGTAGTATCGATTAATCATTATTGTCGTTATAAGGTTTGATTTATTTAAGCATTGAACTGTTTGTGTATGGTATTTATGATCTATTTGAATGACACAGCTTTGCAAGCATTACAACATAATGCGCGTTTTCTCTGCCTCTTATGTTCTTTTTTATCTTATAATTTATATTTAGAATTCAAAATGCCCGCCTTATCGACAGTCTACAAAATTTCGTTCAATAGTTTGAACAGCGTGTTTGTCGCGTGCTGATTGGCAAACAAAGTAGTACTTTGAAATTTTAATAGACACTTTTCAGTATTCAGTATAAATACAATTGCGTCGATATGTCTATAGGGTGATTTAAGTTCATCAATAGAATTCCGAGCTAAAAGTTAGATTTGAAATTGTTTCGATTTTTCTCCGGAACAAATTTGGCGCATGGATAAATACAGTCAACACCGTAAATTCGACCTTGCCCTCCACGAGTGAGTTATTTTTGGAAGTTAATTCGAACTTTTCTCTTTGCTCATTTTGTAAAGAATCCAGACGTGAATTTATTTGTTGATTGTATGGGAATATAACTACAGTCTGTAGATTCTATAACAGCCTCGTTATTTGACATGTCGTCAGAAACGGAGGAAACAGTGGCTGCGAGACGCATGAAACTGATAGCGTTTGAAATGAGTGATCTTGCGACGGAGCACAGGGGTTCATTACAAATGTCTGAAATGTTTATACATGTATGTGCTGTGACTCATATCAGTAGGTCTGTAACATATGTGTCAGTAGGTCTATAGAATATGTGTACGTCAGACATATGTAACGAACCCCTGTTGATCAGTGCAGTGTAACAGACCATATTTCTGATAAATTGCATGAGCGTTAAAATTGTTTCCATTGTCGGCATTGGTGATTTCAACCGATGTGCGTTTTGTACGATATTGCAGATAAATTTACAATGACATTGTCAAATTTCACAATGCCTAGCAATATTTCAGCAGCCGTCATGTTTATTTACATTGGATATTGTAGTTTCGGTCAGTGTTGTATTAATACGCTAAGAATTATGTCTCGTGCTGCATGGTAATTTAAGTCCCATCAACGACACAGCTTCAAAAGAGGCTATATAGTGACAATGCCATGCAAATGTAAATATATGCAATTATAAGAAATAACACAACTTATGTCCTGAATAAAAGCACACTGGAGGCATTTTGCATAGAATATTGTTCGACCTAATGTCTAGGTGAACAAGATAACGCAATAGATGTCAAATCTTAACTTGTTTAGACGTTTTTCATTCGACAAGAGTTTAATTGAAGTGTATATTTTGATATATGTATTTGCTTGTTCAGAATAGCAAGATAGTCTGACAATATATGGAACCCAAAAAAACATGCTTTTGGAATACGTTCTAGCATACTTGAAATTACAAAATTGCACTTGTAACATCATCAATTTGTCTTGGTGTATAACTGTATCTAGCTATCAATTTCTTTCGTATTGTACTACTGTGACTTCATTGATTTGCACATTGTAATGACGTTATCGATTATTGCCTTTTACCTGTAACCTTGTGTATATCAAATATTGATGTCATCAAAAAAACAGACGTAGAAGAAAGATGATGCCCCTGATGTGTATCATTAAAACTATTCGGAGAATTATTTGTACATTGCTTCATTGCTTTCCAGGATGATAAGAACCCTCCAAAATTGACTGCTTGATTCAACGTTTCTTGCCACTATTCCTTTCTAAAAATATTTTCTTATATTTCTAATGGGTCAGCCTGATATCTGAAGAACCATTAACTGCAGCAGACAAGGCCACGAATTGGAAAGTCTTCCATTGAATATCTAATAAAGCAAAACCGAAACGCAGCAGTATGTTGGTCTACAGCTGACACCACAAAGCCGAACAAGTCGTATGGTTGACGGCACATATGTCCAGACGCTTTTCTATGAGCCGTTTGGGGTCCATGCTCTTCCCAGATGAATCGCGATCAACGTGAGCGCAAATTGGCGTCTGGGAGTGCGTTGAAGGGCTTTTGTGCTTTTGATATATAATTGGAAGCCACACAGTGAAAGAGTATGTAGGTAATTTCTTGCAACAAATAGCATCGTCTCTATTGATTGGCATCCATAAAGCTCTGATTTGTCCCCAATTGAACACTTGTAGGATGGACTAAACAGGAGAATTAAGCACAAGTCATTGAAAGGGAATAACATTCATATATGGTCAGGCAATGCCTCTTTCAAATTATTGTAACGCAGAATTATAAATGCCTTAGCTGTTTTAGGGGGACACAAAAGTTATATACGAGATCGGTTTCAAAATTGCCTTCTCCTGTCATTCTAGTTTACGTTATTTATTTCATCGTTGTCTTATTCGGCTACTTTTTCTTTAAATCCATTAAAACGTGTATACGGGTAGATCAATATTCCCAGATAACCACTGCATATCAGGTATTGTTCGCTGCAGTTTGATTATCGACTTTTTCGCCATCCGTCATAAGGGCGAACTAATCACAACAGCGAAAACTAGTACACAGTTTACTCATATAGTAATTAAATGTGAAGGGCAAACTTAACACTGGGCGAATACACATTTTACCAGTGAAGGGCGAATATTTGACTGGTCAAAAGTTCCCCGGTATACAGTGTGATCTCACATATTATGACGTATCGTTCAAAATATATCTATGAATCTATCATGTTTAAAGACAGTGAGGTATCTCTTAAAGAAGCATGGAGAAATAATGCTACGTGTGTTTGTTTCAGTTTCGCAAAAGAGAAGACTATATGATGATGGGTTGCCAATACAGATATGAAAGCATATGAGTGCGAGGAAAGAACATGGATTAATCCAAAGTGTTGCCGTGGGGCAGCAGATTAGGGTTGGTTTCAATGTCCTTAAAGCAGATGACTCAGAAAACCCACCCCCCTTCTTCCTCCCCCCCCCCCCCCAACCCATTCCCTCATCAATTCTCCCAGCGTCATACATTAATCGCCTCTAACGATAAAATAGAGTGGGGGTACATTTTGACTATTCTTTCCATGAACCTGCAAGAAAGTGGAGGCTGCGAATATATTGCAAACGCATAATTGTGTATTGTACGAACACCTACAATGTGTTGTACTGATACATATAAGTATTATGTGAGTCAATATTTACTAGTGGTTTATAATCCTGGTGATGGATGTTTTAAAACGAGAGCATGGCCCCACTGTCATTCATTGATTATTGGAAATGAGAAGCAGTGCGAACCGCCACGTTTAGATTTATTACGAAATTACAAACATCTGGCATTGGAGAAAAGGGAGTTTGCACTTTCATGCCATGAGATCAATCATATCTGTACACTTGAGAGAGGATATGATATGTTGGTATGTCTACCGATATTTTATTTTTAATAATGTATTGCGAGTGAAGAACATATAGTGATCAGGAAAACACATATTTGCATTTGTTTATGGAGCACAATGACATATTTTTGTAATTCCATATCAAAACCCTTATAGTGCACTAGATAGACTGTACCTACACACTTGTCTGTCACATATTCCGTCTTTGCGTATTGCGGAGTTGATATTGATAGTTACGTCATTGGTTTGTGAGAGTAACGTCATCAATTTTTGAGAAAACGACGTAATTTTCTCACACAAAACAATGACGTAATAATCAATACCTGCTCACAAGAGAAGATAACGCTGCAATACGCAAAGACGGAATATTGTGAATACACCAATTCATCAGTGCACCAATATGTTCAAATTAGATAATAGACTATATGTTCAAGTTTGATTTTTTTTTTTTTTTTTTTTTACAGTACTGACTTGTATATTAAGGCAGTTTCCACTGATATGTTCTCCTATTATATATTAACTAAATATCAGATAATCATAAGTTTTTGATTACTGTTTGTGTTCAAAATAAACGTAGAATATAATAACAGTATAGTTGACGCCCAATACTGTGATAAGCAGAAAACATATCATTAAATAAAACAATGTGCAACAGCATACCGTTAAAACCAGCCCGTGCCACCATGAACTGTTATTGTTTTCAGAGTTATTTCCCTTCTCTTTGCCGCGAGCTTATCTTATTTGCTTTAATAACAGTCACAAAACTTAAGTTTTTAATGCTAATTTATTATTTTAACTGTAGCATTTGATCATAATAATAATATTTATTACTAACGAAATCTTTATTTTTAGTAAACAACTATCAATAACAAGACATATTACATGTAGATATGTACACGCAGGTGTACATTTCAGGATGATCAGTTCATTCTATACTATGTACAATTTATGTTACAAGGTAAAAAGGATTCATCACTAAAACACGAAATCAAGTGCATAGAAAGGCGATCAGCCGTGACAATAAAGGATATCATAGAAAGGGGATCAGCCGTGACAATAAAGGAAACCATCGGGTGCTCACTAACAAACAAGCATATCAACCTATTACTCCACCTATGACAGAATAAAAGGTTAATCTTATAGATTCAACATTATTTAATAATCAAGGCCACTGACAGTCTAGGTTCACCCTACATTGAATAAATCTGGCCAATCTGGGGGAGCTTTATGATCGCCGTCATTGTTCCAATTTTTCATTGAGAAAATGTAGTGCTGATGTAAAGGCCAATGATTTTGAATATGTTTCTTCATGAGAATTGATATTTTCTGGTCCAATTTTGCGCTTTGAGGAGATATTATTGCTTCGATTTGTTCTAGATATATATATATATATTGTACATACTTTTTGTGTTTTACCTTTTTATAACGATATACTGTTTTATCTACAATACTTTAGGTTTACTTGCTTTGTTGAGTTTTCATTAGAAGATTTCCAGCTTTCAGAATTTGATGTTTATTGGGATATAAGACGAGTTCATTATTTAATAACATCTCTAAATGATCTTAGCTTTTAATGATTAGCCAAACCAATTCAAATTTTCCATAGGTCTATAGTTGGCTTTCTGTATAGCTTCTGTTCTTTGAAGGTACACATCTTGACGTTGTTTTTTTTGTGTGGTGAAGGATGACCTTAATCTTTAAGGCCATCTGGATTTGAAACGTTTGCTATGGTCAATAATATCATCGGTGCTTTTGGTTATCTCATTCGTTTGTGTTTTTCTTTCTGTATCAATCGTATGATCGAATTATGAATTTGTGTTGGTGTAAGCAGTTCAGCGCAATCTTTTAATTGCATTTTACGATGATTTCTGTCACAAATTGTCTTCAATTTATACGTCTTGCGATGACACGTAAAAATTTTACCAGGGCTTTTGACGTGTTTATAATACAAATGAAATAAATATTTAAATGAAAATAAAACTAAATAATTAAAACAAAAATAATAAAGTTAACGATATCGTTAATACATAAATATGTAATTGTGTGACCGTATTGTAATCCTTGTTACATCACGTTTACATCACATTTTTGTTTTTGTCTTTATTACAAATACTACGTTCTAACCTGATTAATGCTTTATCATTTTGTAAACTTATCATTCCATAGAAGTTTTAGGTGTATAAATATGATGACGTTAGTGACGTTATCAATGAACCGTCCTCTTGTCCAATCGGGCGACAGCAATTAGGTTTGGAGACAATGGTAAATTAAGGGAACATCTCGGAATCACAGTGATGTGTACACATGAATAAGTATGTTTATCACGCCTCACTTAACGTGCGTTAATATCACTGGGGAATCCCCGACGTACCTTACACGCTTACTCGGCCCTAACGTCACCTGTTCCAAATCCGAATAAAACAACCCGATCGACATTGGACATATTTAAGTGTTGGTGATTTCAAACAAAGAATGAGGATTTTTATAACTACTGTGATTATCTTTCTACATATACTTGAATCACAATGCCTTATACCAAACACAGGTAAGTGGAATTTGTTTTATTTCTAATTGTATGCTTGTCAAGTCTTTATGCAATGACAAATGACAGCCTTCCGGTGTACCGCCAGGCAACAGTAATTAATGTCAGCTTGGAACAACTACGCCTACTTTTTATGTGTATATAAGATACTGTATACATATAGTGAGTGATTAGTAAGTAGGTAAGCTAAACACCTATTCCGTACTGGACATGGCGTTTAACACTTACCTCAAACCAGACATGATGTTAAACAGCTGAAAATACACATTATGTTATAGAACAAACTCTAAATAATGGTTACACCTTCAAACTAGACATTATGTTAAATAATTCAATCTTAACATAATGTTGTTCACAGGCCTCATATTTCATAATATGTCTTGTGATTTGACATTATGTTGTTTTCTAATTACCAAAAACTAGGCTCTATATTGTGTACTAATCTCATACAGGCTATTATGGTGTACACATCAAACGACATGTATTGTTATTTAACTTAAAAAAGAGGTTATTTTGTATACCTCAAAATAGATACTATGTTACACTACGCGAACCAAACCCAATGGTATATACCTCAAACTGAACATTATGTTGTACATCTCAAACTGAACATTATGTTTTACATCTCAAACTGAACATTATGTTGTACATCCCAAACTGAACATTATGTTGTATACATCTCAAACTGAACATTATTTTGTATATCTCAAACTGAACATTATGTTGTACATCTCAAACTGAACATTATGTTGTATACATCTCAAACTGATCACTATGTTGTACATCTCGAACTGAACATTATGTTGTACATCTCAAACTGAACAATAGGTTGTATGCATCTCAAACTGAACACTATGTTGTACACATCTCAAACTGCACATTATGTTGTATATCTAAAACTGAACATTATGTTGTATACCTTTCAAACTGATCACTATGTTGCACATCTCAAACTGAACATTATGATGCATACATCTCAAACTGAAAATTATGTTGTTCATCTCAAACTGAACATTATGTTTTACATCTCAAACTGAACATTATGGTGTACACATCTCAAACTGAACATGATGTTGTATACATCTCAAACTGAACATAATTTTGTATATCTCAAACTGAACATTATGTTGGATACCTCTCAAACTGAACATTATGGTGGACATCTCAAACTGAACATTATGTGGTGTACATCTCAAACTGAACATTACGTTTGAGATGTACAACATAATGTTCTGTTTGAGATGTACGACATAATGTTCAGTTTGAGATGTGCAACATAGTGATCAGTTTGAAAGGTATACAACATAATGTTCAGTTTTAGATGTATACAACATAATGTTCAGGTTGAGATGTACAACATAATGTTCAGTTTGAGAGGGATACAACATAATGTTCAGTTTGACATGTACAACATAATGTTCAGTTCGAGATTTACAACATAGTGATCAGTTTGAGATTTATACAACATAATGTTCAGTTTGAGAGGTGTACAACATAATGTTCAGTTCGAGATGTCTACAACATAATGTTCAGTTTGAGAAGTATACAACATAATGTTCAGTTTTAGATATACAACATAATGTGCAGTTTGAGATGTGTACAACATAATGTTCAGTTCGAGATTTACAACATAGTGATCAGTTTGAGATGTATACAACATAGTGTTCAGTTTGAGATCTATACAACATAATGTCCAGTTTGAGATGTACAACATAATGTTACGTTTGAGAGGTATACAACATAATGTTCAGTTTGACATGTGTACAACATAGTGTTCAGTTTGAGATGCATACAACATAATGTTACGTTTGAGATGTATAACATAATGTTCAGTTTGAGATGTAAAACATAATGTTCAGTTTGAGATGCATACAACCTATTGTTCAGTTTGAGATGTACAACACAATGTTCAGTTTGAGATGTGCAACATAGTGATCAGTTTGAAAGGTATACAACATAATGTTCAGTTTTAGATGTATACAACATAATGTTCATTTTGAGATTTACAACATAATGTTCGGTTTGAGATGTATAACACAATGTTACGTTTGAGATGTACAACCCAATATTCAGTTTGAGATATACAACATAATGTTCAGTTTGGGATGTACAACATAATGTTCAGTTTGAGGTGTACAACATAATGTTCAGTTTGGGAGGTATACAACATAATGTTCAGTTTGACATGTGTACAACATAGTGTTCAGTTTGAGATGTGTACAACATGATGTTCAGTTTGAGATGTACAACACAATGTTCAGTTTGAGATGTGCAACATAGTGATCAGTTTGAAAGGTATACAACATAATGTTCAGTTTGGGATGTACAACATAATGTTCAGTTATACAACATAATGTTCAGTTTGACATGTACAACATAATGTTCAGTTCGAGATTTACAACATAGTGATCAGTTTGAGATTTATACAACATAATGTTCAGTTTGGGAGGTATACAACATAATGTTCAGTTTTAGATGTACAACATAATGTTCAGTTTGAGGTGTACAACATAATGTTCAGTTCGAGATGTACAACATAGTGATCAGTTTGAGATTTATACAACATAATGTTCAGTTTGAGATGCATACAACCTATTGTTCAGTTTGAGATGTAAAACATAATGTTCAGTTTGAGATGCATACAACATAATGTTACGTTTGAAATGTACAACACAATATTCAGTTTGAGATATACAACATAATGTTCAGTTTGAGAAGTATACAACATAATGTTCAGTTTTAGATGTACAACATAATGTTCAGTTTGAGGTGTACAACATAATGTTCAGTTCGAGATGTCTACAACATAATGTTCAGTTTGAGGTGTACAACATAATGTTCAGTTTGGGATGTACAACATAATGTTCAGTTCGAGATTTACAACATAGTGATCAGTTTGAGATGTATACAACATCATGTTCAGTTTGAGATGTGTACAAGTTTGAGATGTACAACATAATGTTGTACATCTCAAACTGAACTATGTTGTACACATCTCAAACTGCACATTATGTTGTATATCTAAAACTGAACATTATGTTGTATACTTCTCAAACTGAACATTATGTTGTGTACATCTCAAAATGAACATTATGTTGTATACATCTCACACTGAACATTAGGTTGTATACATCTCAAACTGAACATTATGTTGTATACATCTCAAACTGAACATTTTGTTGTATACATCTCAAACTGAACATTATGTTGTATACCTCTCAAACTGAACATTATGTTGTACATCTCAAACTGAACATTATGTTGTATATCTCAAACTGAACATTATGTTGTATACATCTCAAACTGAACATTATGTTGTACATCTCAAACTGAACATTATGTTGTACATCTCAAACTGAACATTATGTTGTACATCTCAAACTGAACATTATGTTGTATACCTCTCAAACTGATCACTATGTTGCACATCTCAAACTGAACATTATGTTGTATACATCTCAAACTGAACATAATGTTGTATATCTCAAACTGATCACTATGTTGTACATCTCAAACTGAACATCATGTTGTACACATCTCAAACTGAACATTATGTTGTATATCTCAAACGTAACATTATGTTGTACATCTCAAACTGAACATTATGTTGTATACATCTCAAACTGAACATTATGTTGTACATCACAAACTAAACATTTTGTTGTATACATCTCAAACTGAACATTATGTTGTATATCTCAAACGTAACATTATGTTATACATCTCAAACTGAACATTATGTTGTATACATCTCAAACTGAACATTATGTTGTATACATCTCAAACGTAACATTATGTTATGCATCTCAAACTGAACATTATGTTGTATACATCTCAAACTGAACATTATGTTGTATATCTCAAACTGAACCTTATGTTGTATACCTCTCAAACTGAACATTATGTCGTACACATCTCAAACTGAACATTATGTTGTATATCTCAAACTGAACATTATGTTGTATACCTCTCAAACTGATCACTATGTTGTACATCTCAAACTGAACATTATGTTGTACACATCTCAAACTGAACATTATTTTGTACACATCTCAAACTGAACATTATGTTGTACATCTCAAACTGAACATTATGTTTTATACATCTCAAACTGAACATTATGTTGTATACATCTCAAGCTGAACATTATGTTGTACACATCTCAAACTGAACAATATGTTGTATACATCTCAAACTGAACATTATGTTGTATATCTCAAACTGAACATTATGTTGTATACCTCTCAAACTGAACACTATGTTGTACATCTCAAACTAAACATGATGTTGTACATCTCAAACTGAACATTATGTTGTATACCTTTCAAACTGATCACTATGTTGCACATCTCAAACTGAACATTGTGTTGTACATCTCAAACTGAACATTATGTTGTAGACATCTCAAACTGAACATTATGTTGTATACCTCTCAAACTGAACATTATGTTGTATACCTCTCAAACGTAACATTATGTTGTACATCTCAAACTGAACATTATGTTGTACATCTCAAACTGAACATTATGTTGTACACATCTCAAACTGAACATTATGTTGTATACATCTCAAACTGAACATTATGTTGTACATCTCAAACTGAACATTATGTTGTACATCTCAAACTGAACATTATGTTATACATCTCAAGCTGAACATTATGCTATACACCTAAAACTAACCATAATGTTATGCATCTCAAATAAACATTATGCCATACATCTCAATATAGACAATATAGTATATAACTCAGACTTACCATCATGCTATACACCTCAAACTAACCATTATGTTATACATCTAAATTTCAAACTGAACATTATGAACACAACGCAAACTTAACATTATGTGTTGGTTATTTTTTACATAAAATACACTATGTTGTACACATATTTTTTACCTCAAACTAGATAAAGTCAAATCATTATTAAACCCTCACAATAAACTTTAGATTATAATTATAATTACCCGCGTAAGTTCGGGGGAAAATTAGGCCTGCTATA